GGACAAAAAAGTGAAATTTAATAAAGTTGAGGGACAAAAAAGTGAAACTTAATGAAGTTGAAGGACCAAAATTAGCATCTAAAACCAATTTTTTTCAAGTGGCGGGTGTGAAATGTAACGGAACATTAACGGAATAATAGGAGATTTAACGGAAGTTAGTTTTCCGTCCAATTGGGTCCTTATTTGAGAATTTGGTGGAGTTCGGGACCTTCATTGAGCGCAATTGAAGTTTGGGTCCGAAATTGCAAATTTGGTGTAAGTTCGGGTCCTTATGTCATATTTTTGCCCAATTCAGCGCTACCCAGATTCGAGTATTGATCTTCAAGCAATCTTAGGCAAGTTTCAATACTCAAGCACAGATTACTTGACTTTTCATTTCCTTGCAGACATTATAGCTACAATCCTTAGTTCCCTTGTTAAGGGAGCGATTTGACAACCTTTAGGGTCCACTTGGTTCATGAAAAATTATTTTCAAAAGTCATTTTTTCCATTTTCCTATCTTTGAGAGTCATCTTGAAAACTAGTCAATGGAAAATACCATTATATTTTTTGGAAATCAACTTCTAGAATTTTTTCGAAAAGATGTTTTCCTTTGAAAACACATGGATCTAAAACGATCAAAAATTGTCAAATCAATCGGGTTTCAGCACCAGTTTTCAATCAAGAAGTTCAAAACCATGGTGCCTCCATTGGGTTCGATTGGGGTGACTTTCGATCAAATGCTCTCACAAATTTTGCTGGCATAATGGGTGGTGGCTCATGCCAACACTTCTATGAAAATTAAACATGTGAGTTTAACATAATATTTGTATCTAACTTAAAATCAATTAACAATAGATGAAATAGTTTTCTTTATATTTAAATCACTTGCCTTTTTGTTATATGTTTAATGTGAAATTTTCTCACCCAACACGTTTTGTCAAATTGTTGAATTGGAAAATTTCACATCAAAGATATAACAAAAAAAAAAAAATGTGAGTTAAATATGATTACTCCACTTATTGTCAACTGAATTTAAATTGGATGCAAATCTTATATAGAAACTCACATGGCTAATTTTCATATACTACCTCCTCATCTACACTTCTAAAACAAAACTTAACTATTTCTCATCAAAGAAAAACTCTTGTAATATGGTAATATTCTTCTGTTTTAGAATCATATCAACCATATGCTTACGCGTCTAGAGCTTCCATGCCTTTGAGGAGGACAAACACTATGAGTTCCTTGTTCAAATCAATATCACATTATATTTATTTAATATTATATTGTTATTGTAAATTTATAATTTTACATAATATTGTAATTATTATATAATAGATTTATTTATTTCTTAGATATTGGTGAATGCAATGACACTAGCCAAAAGATTAACTGTGGGCCAGACTCAATTTGTTTTAATAAGATGGGGAGCTACGGTTGCCATCAACAAGGCAAGATAGCCTCGCAGTCAGCTATAATTTTGGGTAACATCCATATTTTCCGACCTTTATTTATTTATTTTTAGAATACAATTTTTTTTTTTTTGGGTACTTATTCGGGTATTAAGAGTTTATCCTCAATTTCCAATCCACTGAATATAGGTTGTACCTGTTTTTTATTTATTTTTAAGTTGCATAATAGAAATAAGCTTCTCACATCGTTTTTTTTATCCACTCAACCTGCATGGTTAAAACACGAACCCACTAAAAAATGATTATCTTTAGGCCGTGTAGGTCATTGGAGCAGAAAGATAATACAGATTAAAACATACTTAACGTAATACATATAGTTGATAGAGGACTTTCATACATAATTGGCGCACACATATACTACACATGATTACTATTATTGACGACTTACAAGAACAGTGATTTTAAAGTTAGATATTTATCATGGATTAGGAGGGCATTCAAAAAGAGATACTTGAATGATACCTCGGCGGAATCACACAACAAGCAATTTAAACTCAAACTCATACCTCTGCAATTCAGTACCTATCCTTTGTCTTCAACAGACCTTTCACTAGCATCTATAAAATTATAAACGGATGCCTCAGAATCCCCAACAGAATGCCACACTAATCTAAACCAAGGAACTCTATGAACCTGGCTGGAATGTCATCAATTGACAATTAGTAGCTTTTATTGATTGAGGAGCCCCCGAACTGCCACAAAACAAAACTTTATCTGCTCCCTCAGACAAAGTCAATCCTTTAATCTTAGCCACCGTGCCAGAATATCTCCTTCCAAAACTAGTTGGTATCTGCCATCCAGATGGTCCCCACCCAGAACTTTTGTTTCATGCCCACAGTTGGTGATCTCAGCCTTATATTATAGCCTATGACGAATTCCATCTCCTGGTAGCCAATAATCATAAAAATGGGAGGTTTGTCTACCATCCCCAATTTCAATACTAACACCATCTCTCATCATCTTTTTCACCAAAGGATCTTTCTTAAAGACCACGCACAATCCTGTGGACACATTAATTTTATTTCATTTCATTTTTATATTTCTAATCACGAAACTGGACTTCTATATTATCAAGTTTTGATATATATGCGCATCTGTTGCTAAAATCATCTGTTTCTCTCTTGATATGTGCAGGTATTAGCATAGTGTTTGGACTAGTATGTTTACCTATTGGTACAAGGCAGTCGTACAAACTTTTAAAGAGGAAAATGAAAAAGAAGCTTCAAAGGCAGTTCTTCAAACAAAATGGAGGTTTATTAGTGCAGCAACAACTGCCTACAACAGAGGGTAATATTCAAAACACCTAAATATTTAGTACAAAGCAGTGGGAGAAAGCTATTAACAAATTCAACAGGGATAGAATACTAAGTTAGGGAGGCCAGGGCACTGTTTATAAAGGAATGGTGGTTGATGGAAGAATTGTTGCAGTTTATAAGTCCAAAGCATTGGACAAAGTGAAAATTAAAGAGTTCATCGATAAGGTGGTCATTCTTGCACAAACTAATTGCAGAAACATTGTTAAGTTATTAGGCTGTTGTTTGGAGACTGAAGTTCCTTTGCTAGTTTATGAATTCATCCCCAATGGAACACTTTTCCAATACATACATGATCAAAATGGGGCCTTCCCATTAACCTGGGAAAGACAAGTAACAATCGCAGCAAAAGTTGCAGGTGCACTTTCCTACTTGCACTCAGCAGCCTCCATTCCCATTTATCATAGAGATGTTAAGTCCTCACATATTCTAGTGGATGGTGAGTACATGGCGAAAGTTTCAAACTTTAGGATATCAAGATCAATTGCCATTGATCAAACTCATTTGATCACAATTGTGAAGGCCACATTTGGGTACCTAGATCCGAATATTTCTGGTCAGGTCAATCTACAGAAAAAAGTGATGTTTACAACTTTGGAGTCGTCCTTGTTGAGCTATTAATTGGAGAAAAACCAATTTCTTTAGCAGGAGCAAAGGAAGAGGAAGCAAGAAGTTTGGCCTCTCATTTCATTCTTTCCATGGATGAGAATACTCTCTTTAATATTCTTGATGCTCAATTAAGGGACAGTTCTGCACATGAAGAGATAACAAAGGTTGCCAAACTTGCATATCGATGCTTGAGCTTGAGTGGTAGAAAGTGGCCAAAGATGATAGAAGTTGCTGCAGAGTTAGAACAGATTTGTCTTTCACAAAACTACTCAAATGGTCAACAAAATCATGAAGAGGTTAGGTATGTCAACACTGAAGTAGCCAATCTTTGGGATGGTGCCTCGACTTCAACAGGTTCAGGTTTGGACTCTGGAGTTGCTTTGTTGTTAGACATGGAGTCATGAATTTCTAGTGAATCATGGGGACTTGAATGATTTATCCTAGATTACATGTATTCCATGTTGGGGGAAGTAATAAGTTCTTTCTTTTTTGTGTTTGAAATTTTTTAGTTCATTTAATTTTTATTTTTGTCACATTGTGATTCAAAGTTCAAATAAAGTTGGCACAACTTGGTTACAATAGTTTGATATAATGACAGGCTAAAGTATTATTGAACCATTTCCTTTTCAGATTTAAATTCATTTTGTCTTACAAAAACTTGCCAGGGTTAAATCAAGTCCCCAACACATGATAAAAGAAACATATCCTTTAGATTTGGTGCCATACACATTAATATGTGTATGCACGAATTATTTAATTGTATTCCTAAAAAGCTAGCACAAAGTCATTTCCTAGTTCCAGTTCAACTATCCTGAAACTTTCACCACTCAAGACAAATTATCTTAGCAGCATATTCAGAGTCAGTGAAGCATTGAGTATATTTCCTTGCTTGGCTTATCTTTCAAAAGTATGAGTAGAAATTTTCTAAAGGAAAAAATAGTTATTCATGCCTTCAGTATTAATGGACAATCATCAGGCTAGCATGAAATTAAGGTAATTTCTCTATAGCAGAAAAACCATATTGTAAGATAACAAGGTAATTATAGCATTGAAAACCCAGGTAATAAGACTTACCTGTGTGCAGAAGCACCAAAGTAGATAGTTATTCCCTTGAAATAGCCTTCCCAGTAGTTTTCTTCTATCTACACACTCAAAACAAGCATCATAAGACAAGAAGAGGCCTATCTTCTGCCATGCATGATATGAAGAACCAAGATGATATACCTCAAGCATCAAAGGAGGAGAAGACAACCATGAAAGCTCCTCAACTTGGTTTAGGTTAACATTCCGAGGTAAGAACATAATGACATTAGGTGTTATCCTCTGAGCAGCCTGAAATATTGAGTATCTACAGGATGTCTTACAATCAGACATACAACAAAGTGATTCAAAGTTCAAAATGAAATGGGCATGTTACAAGAATCAACTAAATAACAAGCATAACATAAACAAAGATACATCACAAATGGTTTATCCTACTCAATTCCAATCCAAGTGATATTTTAGTCTGCCAAAGAGACTCAGCATGAAATATTATACATATATACATCTTTGCTTATGTTTAAGGATTACTTTGAATTTTAAGAAACAAAAAATCATAACTCATCAATAACAAGACCAAGAGGTTGTTTGGCTTAGCTTATTTCTATGTTGCGAAAATCATAAGGTTTTGAAAACATAAAGGGGAAGTTCAAAATTATTTAAGCTTGGATGAACAAATTGTGGTTAAAAATTTTAACTAAGCATAATAAGACTGGATATCAGTCATTCAGAATCTGATAGTAATGTTTGCAAGATTATTGAGTCTGCAAATTTTGAAAACACTTGATGCCTTTTCCTTAAACCATTGCATTTAAAAATGAGAACTTGCAGGCAGCAGGAAATAAATGTTAAAAGAGTCTCTCAAATTTGAACAGAACAAAAAAAAAGAAAAAAAAACAGCAAACAATCACACAAATGCACACATACCCATCTTTTGGCTTCAGTAAATCCATGGTGAAATTCTGGATTGTTTTATATGATGGACCCCCTATGGCGGTGAAACAAATACTACATCCCCCTAAAAACAGAAAAGAAAGTTGAATTAGGATTGGAACTACTTAAGATCAGCTAGAAAGTCCTATTCACCCTACATAATAAAATTCTGCAAGGAAAAAGAAAATATAACCCAATCCCTATGGTAAAAAGAAATTTTTTAAAAAAATCAAAACACTACTCAAATACTTTAACTTAAGTATTGCAGAAAGTATTGCAGATGCAAAACTTCTCAAGTTTCATCTTGTCAAAACTCTGTAAAGCTGATAAAGGATGTTATTATTGGGAATGTGTCTACAAACATCAATTTAAAAAAAAAAAAAAAAAAAAAAAATAGTTAATTAGTTAAGTTCAACCCTAACATAAACATTATCCAAAATTTGCAGCAGTAATGAAAACAGAAAAAAGTACCTTCAAGTATGGAGCAAGCTGGAAAAAGTCTCCACTAATAAAATCAATATAATCTTCCACTCCATACATACTTGCATTGTTGAAAGCCATTACAACCTTTTGAGGGTCAATGTCTATAGCAGCAAGAAATTGGCACCTAAAAATGTAAACTATTTGTTAGGAGACTCCTATATGGTGAAGGAGTATAGAGTTGATATGGATAGAATGAAAGTATAATATGAGCTCAAGCAAATGTACAACAACAAGTCAGTCGTCAAGATAAACAAAATTCAGAAATACTCGTGCATAATATAAAGAGTTTCAAATGTTCAGTTGGAAGGCTACCTAGACGATAAAGCCATAATACCTTCATATTGTACTGAAACAAAAATGTTCAATTGGAAAGTCTCATGAGAATATTGTCAAACCATCCTAATAAACATTTCTTTCCCATTTCATAGTACAAGAAATTTATTCTAGTATCTGAAATGGACTAACAAGTTAGTTCAATCCAAGCAACTAATTTTCCCACTGAACAATGCACATATTAAGAGTCTAG